CTCCTCCTCCTCCTCCTCCTCGTGTCAGCAATCGGAAATCAGCGGTGGCCTAAAGAAGAAAAAACCCAGATGTCTTAACTCGGGCCCGCCAAACGCTGATACGACCAGTTCTGCAGGACTTCAGTGGCGGGGACGACAGGCCACGTTTTAACCTTGGCTTACGCCATGCAGAGGAAGTAGCCGTTGTCTTCTATAATAACGGAGAGCGCGCAAGACTTACCCTGTTGCCACCAGCCTCGCAGCTGCCCATGGTTTCAGACCGGACGGAGCGTGAGCCAAAACCAGGGTTGGAGGACGAAGGCCTCTGTCTCATTTGGGGGGGAAAGAGAGAGAGAGAGTGTGTGAGTGTGTGTGTGTGAGAGAGAGAGAGAGAGAGGCACTGTTTAAAAACCGAGTTGGTTCTTAGCTTTGAGGATTTCTCTTCCATTTGACATGGGCAGAGTTTTTTTCTACACCATATTTTTGTCCTTTCGATTTTTTCCCCTTCCCTAGGCTGGACGTGAGCTTGTGTGTGTGTGTCTGCGCACACCCCGAGCGCATTGCACACCCGTCATGGTTTTTGGCCAGTCCTTCCTAAGGAAAGCAAGAAAATGGTCCTTTTTGTGCAAGGATGAACGAGCGGAACGGAGAATTTCTATTTTTGTAAGGGGTCGGGGTGGGTGGGTGGGCGGGATAGACCAGCGGACGTCTCTCTGGATCGCTTTTGTCTTGCAAAAGTTTTTCAGTCCTCTTCCTGGCTCCTGGTCCCCACTCCCTGTGCAGCCAGCCTGGGGAGGGGTGAGGAATGTTGTGGGGGTGTGTGTGGGGGGGAAACAAGGGGGTGTTGCACAGCTTTCTTTCAATGAATGAACGAATGGCCCGGTAAGATGGAAGCCTCTTTCTCTCTCTATGGAGCTAAGCAGATTTGCACCACAGTAAAACCTGTGACTTGAATCTTTCTCCCGTGCTTCGTTCTTTGGCTTGCTCTCTCTTTCACGAAAAAAAAAAAACCCGTTTAAAAGAGGAACATTTCTCAAGGAAGCAGGACCAAGGAAGGACCTCGCCTGTTGCAGTGGGCTCCGGGCTTCGCCTCGTTCCGGAAAACGCCACCCCACTGCATTGATGGGTCCTGGAATTCGATTTTCACCGGTTTCTTGACTGCAGCCATGGGATTGGTGGAGCTCGGATATCTGGCCAGCAAGAAGTAGTTTGGGGAAACCACACACAAATCTCCTGGAGAGATTTGAGAGCATTTTCCCAGCCCCAATTTTGTTATTATTTTTGACTGAATGGCCTCATCCTGCCTGGTTTCTGGTGTTGCTGCTGTCTTTTATTTTTATTTTTTTGCAAAGCTTTTTTGGCTTCTGCATTGATATTGCTGGAATGATGTGATTTGGGTCTTAATTGCCTGTATTGGTTCCTGGACAGAAAGAGGCCTTTCCCAGGTGGGTTTTTTTGGGGGGTGAGGGAAGCATTTTCCAGTGAGGTGGTGGAAGGAAATATCTTTGTTCTCAGAGGTATCCATGGGGGGAATCCATCCCCGAAAGGGCTTGGAAGGATAGGATGGGATGGGATGAGAAAGGATAGAATGGGAGGAAGGAAGGGCTAAGGGAAAAGAGGAAGAGAAGGGAAAGAATGGAAGGAAGAACGAAGGGAAGGGAAAGGAAAGAATGGGAGGAAGGGAAAAAAGGGAAAGGAAAGAATGGGAGGAAGGACTAAGGGAAGGGAAAGGAAAGAATGGGAGGGAGGGAGGACAGAGGGAAAGCAAAGGATGCCATAAGGGAAATAAATAGGGAGTGGGATAGAATGGAATGGGCTTGAAGAGAAGACTGGGATAGAAAAGGACAGGATAGGAGGATTGGATAAGACAGGAAAAGGAGGAGGGGAAGTCGGGATAGGATAACCTTCCAGGGCCTTATTTTTTTCCCCTTTGAAATCTGTAGGAATTCTAGACAAATTGACCTCGTGTGGAGGGATCCCCTGCCTTGGGATTTTCTCCCCCCAGGTGTTTGCTGCTATTTGTACCTGTCCTTCCTCCCCCCCCCCCCCTCATAGGGAAACAACTACTGAATGAGACAGGTTTTTTTTCTGCATCAGCAGCCTTCCTGCCGAAGCGCTTTCAGTAGATTTAGTAGATTTTCCCCTATTTTTTTTTTTAAAAGCCTGCTGCTTTTTTTCTGCAGCACTTCTGAGATAACTTAAAAACAGAAAGAAAGAAAGGCCTCCCCTCCAGGAAGCAAATCAAGTGAAATATTTGTTATTTGGCTGCTGTTTATTTTTGGTTTTTTTTCCTCCCTTTTTTTCTGAAGGGCTAACATTTTAAGTTGGGTTAGTGAGCAGAATTACAATTAGATTTGGAGTCAGGACAGCAGGGGGTGAAATGTTGGTATCAATAAAAAGGCTCTGCTCAAAAAAAAGCTCTCTTCAATCTCTCCGAGGATGGTTGCCCCGTTCTGTGTCCCTTCGTCGTAAACTGAGACAGATTCACACTCTGGGTGGGGTAAATTTGACCCGTCTTGGGGCAACCTGGGAAACTTAACGGCAACTCTTAAGAACGCATGAAAATCCAAGGTGCTGGGCTTATGCTTTATTTCAGAATTCAAAACAGCCCGATGCAGAAAGCATAAACCTACATCTTTAGCACATTTAACCAGCATCCACCATTCTGTGTTTTGGTTTTAAACCGGCAGGCTTACATGGTTTGGCGTAAGATGGATGCATATTGGGATCCTGTGTGCCAAAATGAACAAAAAGCAGGCACACCCACCCACCTCATTTCCAGCTGCCGCTGAGTCAATATTTAAGAATTGCATTGCTGGCTGGGGAATTCTAGGAGTGGAAATCCACACCTCTTAAAGTTGCCAATATTGAATATACCCTTAGCCTACCAAGTCAAGTCTTCCTTACGCCACATTTCTTGGAAAGTGAGGACCACCTGTTTTAGACAAACACAAATCTCCCATTTGTCTGAAAAAATAGTCTTGGGGGGGGGGGAATTTCCCCCAATGAGGAAGTCCTTTTTAGTTCCAAACTAAAGCTGGCATTTTTTTTTTTAAAAAAACAACAACCTTCAAAAATGTTTTATTTTCCCATAAGGAGGAAATGCAATTGTTTAGTGAAGATAATGCCTCTGATTCTTCTCCAGTATCTTTTCAACTCCCGTATGATACAGGGAGGTATAATTTTTAGTCGAATGACACATTGCATTCCATTTTCCACCCCCAGAACAAGCACTCTTTGGGTGTCTCCAAAGTTTTCAGGATGGAAACTGGACACTTAGCCTGATCTACTAACTTGATCAGAGGGATGTGTCTCTCTTAAAAACATCACTTCGTCTTCTGCAATTTTTGGCTGCAAAGACTAATTTTCTTGAGTGTCCCAAGGTGTGTTTGTGTTGTTTTCAATGTGTGCCCCCAAAAAAGGAACAACGCGAGCAAATTTTAAAGAAGAGATTGGACAACCATTTGCCTGAAACGTATAGGATTTCCTGCCTAAGCAAGGGGTTGGACTAGAAGACCTCCGAGGTCCCTTCCAACTCTCTTATTCTAAATGGACAAATTGACAGAAACGTGCAGTGCAAAACAGCTCAATTTGGAGATTGAAGAATCTTTCCACCGCCAGCAGAGGGCAGCATTGGGCCATAAAACAACACACCTATCCATAAAACGAACGAAAGCGAAAGTTTTAAAAAGGTACTTTGGTTTCTTGGCAATTACTGTATTTTTTTGGCGCTACAAATCGCTTCTGGTTTTTTTTTTTGGGTGAGAAACCAACGGACCAGCTTTTGATAAGCCCCCTGAGGTAAGATTTGCTCTGGATCGTTATTGCTGCCTACACCTGGCCCTAGAAAAACTGCAAAAACAGTTTGTGTCGTTTTCATTCCCTTTCTTTTAGTTTCCAGAGAAGGGTTACCTACAAGGAAACTATGGCAGATTTATGCATGACTTTTGAGGGACAGGAACAGAGGGGTGGGGTGATCTCTCATTTGTCCTAAGTCGAGGACCACCTGAATTTTTCCTATCTTGTCCTGTCTTCAGGATCTTTGGAGAATAGCTTGACTCCCTCTTCTTTGGGGCAGCCCCTGAGATATTGGAAGACTGCTATCATGTCCCCCCTAAGTCCTTTTCATTAAACTAGACTTACCCAGTTCCTGCAGCCGTTCTTCATATGTTTTAGCTTCCAGTCCCCTAATCATCCTTGTTGCTCTTCTCTGCCCTCTTTCCAGAGTCTCGACATCCTTTTTACATCATGGCGATGAAAACTGGATGCCCTGTTGCAAGAGTGGTCTCACCAAGGCATTATAAAGTGGGATTAACATTTCACATAATTTAAAAATTATTATTTGACTGGGATTGTTTCCAAAAGGAACGTGGCTTTTGTACCCATAGCCACACCTTGTTTTTTTATAATGGGCTGGTAATTTTTCATTCTTGCGGAAGCAACACAAAAGTCCAAAGGCCACCGTGACTTAGATACTGTTGAAAGGTGTCAAAATGCCTTTCCTTCGAGGATTCGATTTTCCCGCTGGGAGAGCTCCGGCGCAAGGATACGGACAACTGCTTGAAAGCTGGATCTTTTTATTTTTCAGGAAGGCGGAGAACAGCGAGAAGTCTGCGTTCCTGGGCTAGCTAGCTTCTTATGGTGAGTCCCTGGTTTTTTATACCCTTTTCTTCCTTTGTGAGTTGATTTCGCGTGAATGTTTGTATTTGTGCTTAATGTGTCAAATCCTGTTTGAGTTTGTCTTTATTCCTGCTGGTGGGCAAACTCCGCAGGGTGCGGAAGGCAAACTCCACAGGGTGGTTAGATTGTATTATCGGTTTTTTTCCTAATCTCTCTTAGCTTTATGATGGATTTTCATATTTGTCTTGTGGCAATCTCCTGTCTGTCTCTTTTGTAATTTATATTTTTTGTGTCTTTTGTCTGTTTGTTTTGCTTATTTGGTCTGTCCTGTGTTCGTAAGGGTTTCCTTTTCTTATTTGTCTAGTTTTCTTAATTACTTAGGCTTTTGTCTATAGGGATTCTTTAATACCTTTTATTTGATTCCTTTTCCTATGTAAGTTTGTTTTATGGCTGGCCTGATATTCCCCTTTGGCTTTTCCTGTCTTCGTGAAGTTCCCTTTCCACAATACTATTTGCATCTGCCTTGTTTTCCAACAAAAGATATTTCATAGAATTATAGATCTGGGGGGAACCTTAGAGGTCATCTGGTCCAACCCCCCTGGATTTGGCAATCCATTCTAATAAACCTGAATTTTTTGTTTTCAAGATGGGCAGTGATCTGTTTCTCTCTTTCTTTTTAGAGTTTTACTCAATGGTGTCAGATGACCACTTCCAAGATGACTTCCAGGAGCAGATCTATTAATTTTTATTGTAAGTGTCTTTGTGTGTGTGTGTGTGTGTGTGTGTGTGAGAGAGAGAGAGAGAGAGAGAGAGAGAGAGAGAGAGAGAGAGAGAGAGAGAGAGAGAGAAAGAAAGAAAGAAAGAAGAAAGAAAGAAAGAAAGAAAGAAAGAAAGAAAGAAAGAAAGAAAGAAAGAAAGAAAGAAAGAAAGAAGAAAGAAAGCTTGGAAAAAAGAAAAGAGCTGCTTTTATTATTAAGTTAGTTTGGTGCGTTTGCGTCGTAACAATTTTTACTTAAAATTGTACGTCGCTTTTTAAAGGCATACCTTGTAAACTATTAGAAAGGCAGAAAACCAAAATAACTTAGCAAACAAGTTGATTGTAAGAGAGAGAAAGACATTGAATTGACCCACTTCCAGCTTTGTGTAAATTCAGACAAAATATGCTTTTTTTTTATTTTGGATTTTCAAAATGATAATAAATGCATGAATGTACTCAGTGGTATGCATATTATTGTATCCCAGTTGGACAATAACTTCTATTTCATCCTCATTTCCCTCCTGCTGTTATTCTTCTTCACCCCTATCCCTCCTCCTCCTCCTCCTCCATCTCCTCCCCTCCCTCCCTCTTTTCCTCCTCCTCTTCTTCGTCTTCCCTTCTCTTTTTTCCTTCCTTCCTTCCCTCCCTCCCTTCCCTCCCTTTCCTTCCTTCTTTCCTTTCTCCTCCCCTCCCTTCATGGCTTTTCTTCCTTGCTCCCTCC